CGACGCTTCAGGAAAGCGTTGTGCCCCATTGTGGAGCGATTGGTGTGTTCCATGATGATGCATGGCCGCAACAACGGCAAGAAGCTTATGGCAGTGCGCATCGTCAAGCATGCCTTTGAAATCATCCACCTCCTCACAGACAAGAACCCCATCCAGGTCTTTGTGGATGCTGTCAAGAACGGAGGTCCTCGTGAAGACTCCACCCGAGTTGGCTCGGCAGGTGTGGTGCGGCGTCAGGCTGTGGATGTGTCCCCGCTGCGCCGTGTGAATCAAGCCATCTATCTCATTTGCACTGGAGCGCGAAACAGTGCCTTCCGAAACATCAAGTCCATCGCCGAGTGCCTTGCAGATGAGATCATGAATTGCGCGAAGGAGTCTTCCAACAGCTACGCCATCAAGTGGCTTGGTTGCAAGATGTGGACTTGACCGGGTCTAGATTATGTTTGACTTGGAGCTGTTGGAGCACTTGCTGAAGATACTTTGCAGCTTGTTCGACCAAGGAAGAAGGATGAAATTGAGCGCGTGGCCAAGGCCAATCGCTGAGAGGATTTGCAAGACAAGTCTGGGAGCCTACCTTGGAGCACAGCAAAACAGGTGTGTGCATTGCTGCTAGTTGGGTGTGCTTGTGTATTTTTACAGTGCGTGTTGCTACTTAGTCATGGATGCATGAAGATGAAGCTTGTTTGTGATCTGTGAACAGGCTAAGCAAGGCAGCTTTCTATTTTGGCCTCTCCGTCCGTTTGTTGAATGGAACAGACTCGATATGAATGTTTGCCAAAGGGCTGGCTCAAGAAGGAACTGTGAGGCTGTGAGGATCTACAATCCTTCTATAGGCGTGATGTCGGCGGCTGAAGTGAAGCTCTTTGGAAGATGGATTCCTGGAAAAGACGTGTGGAGTCATTTTAGATCACGAAAGCTAGTGGGTCAAAAGCCACATCAACACAATTCAACATACATCAACCAATTATAGAAGTAGTTCTACCCGGCCCCTCAGCGGTTCAACTCACCTCCTACTATGTTTGTTGTTTGGAGGGCAGGCTCTTCTTTTTGTGTCTTTTGTCCGAATGTCCATATTGCAGAGAATCATGCACCTTTCCAGAACGGCTCTTCTGTTGTCTAAGGACCTATGAGGACGTGATGCTGTCGGACTTGAGCTTG